AATAATAATAATAATAATAATAATAATAATAACAGCAACAACAACAATAATAATAATTTTTTTTAATAATAATAATAATAGTATTTTTTACTACTAATAATAACGTTTATTAGTGGCTTATAAAAAATTACAACTGTAAAAATTCTTAGGACAATATATATGTCAGGGAAATACTAACTTACAAACGAATTACAAATTACATTCATTCTTTACAACCCTTATAAATTTGTCTATTGTCATTTGTCGAAAAAATTTAAATAAGAATAGTAAAAAATACTCTAATAATAATAATAATAATAATAATAATAATAAAATTTATACAGCGCCATTTCCCAATGGTTCAATGGCGCTTTACAATAAATTAAATCCATAAAAACAAATTACCTAGTCATAAAAAATGCAACGTACTTTAAATACAACTTTACCTAGTATAAAAACTACAATTTTACAATGCACTCACTTTTAATGCTAACTTCTAGCCACGCTCGGGATTCAAGGCTAGGGTAAATCAGGTGATACAAAACAAAGTACTCGGAGTAAATCCTAAACGAACGCAGCTGACTCGATAAGGCAAGCAGAGAGTAACCAATTGAGAACTAGAAAAATAGAATAATCTTTACAACAGTTAACCTTGAGTCTATAAAGGGGAGGTCACAAGAACTACATGAACATGTACACAGGTGAACGTACGAACGCAAAATTCTAGCTATAGAATGAAATGTTTCCAAGGAAGAGGCGTTCAATTAAGAATTAAGTGTTCCCAAGTTAACCTTAGCTTCGCTTGCCAAAACGTAGCGTTCTTAAAAACATAATTTCTAAATATTTGGCTCCACAACACAAGGAAAGACAGAAAAGCCCATCCATAACAAAACACAAAAGATGCTCCAATGAATGGGGTCCTGAATAGAGATACCTGCCAACCCATGGTGGAAATTTTTTATCTTATTAAATTTTCATAAACATGATAATACGTAACGTTTGGCAAAGTTTTAAAAAAAATCTACACATAGCGTTTAGAGCCACCTCAGCATTTTAAAAATTTAAGGTGGCTCTGAACCCTATGTACAGAATTTTTTTAAACTTTGCCAAACGTTGCGTCTTATCATGTTTACTAAAATTTGATAATATAAAAAAATTTCACCCTGCGGTTTTTGAATAATAAACCCCTAAAGTTGTAATTGAGGGTGTTTTTAGCAGGTCAAACTGTTGCTATGGCAACCTATTGCGTCACGAAAATGATAACAACGTGTTCACCAATTATTTGGCAGTTTTATGATACCATGGCTAAAGCATCAAGTGTTAAAGAGTGGTTATAACGACCCATCAAAATCTAACTGCTGGAATCTGTTTTGAGCCACCTTAACTGACAGAATTGGGGGAAGCCAGTGTTTTGGCGTGAGACTCGCGCCAAAATACATGAATCAACGAATATTTTTAGATCTAAAGTAGTTCCAAACTACTTCTAAGCAACCATTTCAAGATGATGATCTCAAACTACTTTCAAATTTTGTCAGAATAGTTTCCTTCCGTTGTACAATGCACTTGAAACACCGTCTATCAACCCCCTGCCTAATCATCGCTCAGAAAGGAAATTGACAGATTAGGACTGGGTTCTAGAATGGGCGCGTCGTAGAGAAGGATCGTGACTCTTCAGTGAGGACGGTGAACAGTTGTTGGCTTGCAAGCGAATTTGTTGGGCGTTTTTTTCCCGTCTTTTCCGATATGGCCGAGAGTAAATCGGATCTGACCCTTTTTGTGAAGGTATTATACTTCTTTTAGAGCTCAGCTTTCTTATTCTGGTCGAAATAAGCGGTGGTTTATTGATCATTTCGTTTGTTGTTCAAACAGGCCTCGACCATCAACGATTCGGAATTCGGAGCCGACGTGTTTGCTCAAAGGTTTATGATGATGCTTGTACTGAAAGATATCGCCGTCGACATCAGTCTTGTGGATGCGGTTAAGAGTAGAACCATGAAAAAACTACCGGCCTTGCAGTTTTTGGAGAACGACTTAATGGAAGACCCAGCCGAAATCGAGACCCTCATCGAGAAAATATCTCCCGATCATCCACTGCGAAGCCAAAACGAAGAGGTGAATCAACTTGTTTTTAAAGGCCCTGGGAGCGGCGTTTATCACAAATTCTGTCTGCTGGCGAAGAACGCAGATTCTTCCACTGACGAGAGGCTAAAAGGAATCTTAAAGGAAGAACTTAAAGCCCTTGACGAGTTCTTGAAGTCAGAGGAAATGCCTGGGAAATTTCTTGGCGGCGAGGACTTGTGTCTTCCCGATTGTATCTTGCTTCCCAAATTGCTGCACATCAAAGTAGTAGCAAAGGTGTTCAAAGATTTCGAAATTCCCGAAGAATTCGAAGGAATTCACAGATACATGAATGCAGCTAACGACAATCAAGCTTTCACGAGAACCTCGCCTTCAGAAGAAGTTATCGTGGATGCATGGGCTCGTGCTATGAAGGTTCCAAACCCGCTTCAGCGAAAGGCAAGAAAGCATTGATAGATTATCATGACCATGGCGTCTCGCAGAGATATCTGTAATTAATCTAGTCTTTTGTAGAGGTTTTCGAATTACTTCTGTATTTCTTGCACAACGTGTGGAATTTTTTTTCTGTGTTTCGTGTACTAATATCTTCGACTTGGTACAAAACCGCCGTTCAAAAGAACAGTACACGTGTACTCAGTTGACTACCAACATAACACTGATTTGAATTTATGGCTAGCGCAAATACTAGCTTCTAATAGATCTTCTGCATACGCAGTACTAGATTTGTGCTTGGCGGTTCATGAAATAATATATATATCTTCGTTTATTATTCTGTCGGTAAAGTTGTATAAGTAAGCTTATATGAAGTATTCAAGTTGTCGAAATTTAGCTTTGTTCTGGCCGTCTGATCTAGACACATATTTGTTGTTTGTACTCACAGCGTTGTGGTAAGCCTAACTCAAGCTGTTTCGATTCGGTTGATTCGCCACGATATAAGGCTTTTGTCTCCTTTCAGTCTCCCTAAAGTGCCTTTTCTGGGGTAAAGTGCAAGTTCGTCGCTTGGAAACCGACCATGGAATACCACACATAGCAGAACCGGTATTATTTTGTTGGTTTTACCGATTTAGCTCTAGGATAATAGTTCTGAAACGCGTAGTTTTACTGTAGCGATCATCTTTCAGAGAGCTTATGCGTGATCCAAATTCCTAGAGGGGGCGTCATGGCTTGCTTTACTCGGTGTAAAGTTGACAAAACTGTAAAAGCTTAGAGCTCGCGTCACCCGATTGAGTATCACATTAGCCGTGTCATCATCGTACACGGGTATCGCTAAAGATCACGATAATTATGCATGCGAGGTCAGCTGTTTAATATGATCTTCACTCCTTGGCAATGCTTTGAGGATGAAACAAAGATTTGTAATAAATAGCAGCGATCAGGCTTATTAGTTCCTGTTTTTGTGTTGCGTGTGTCTCAACTAACATTTTATTTTCTTTGGATTATATTTATAACATATAACTAACAGGAGCTTCGGTATGCCTTAATATTTTTTGGTTGTAATGAGTCCACATTATTTACTGAGTAAAAGGGCCTTGTTCACCTATTTGTTCAGAAAGCTACCCAGAATTTAAAGAGATCAAAATACTAGTTGCCACTGTTTCATGAATAACCTGTATGGAATGTGGTCCACAATTTGTTTTAACACACATACTGTATGTTCTGTCAAGCTTGTCATTCAAAAGGTCACTTTAGCCATGTTTGTTTAAGAGTGGAAACAAAAGAACCTTTATTTGAAGCAAGCAGGGTGGGGACAGATGAGGAGGAATTAATTTTTCCTGTCAAGTCAAATTACTTATCAATTCTTGTTTCTATGTTATTCCAAGATTTGTTGATTCAAGTGACATTAAATGAAATAGAACAATTGAAGAATTGCATTAATTTTAAATGAAAATTTTGCAAACATTTTATAAATCTTGCATGAAAAAGTGGGAATCAAGGCTTATAAAGTTAATTAAATCTTGATTGCAACTTTGTTGTGTCTTTGAAAATGTGTCAATGATAATAATAACAATAATAATATTAAAATTTTTAATTTTCTAAGAAATTAGATTATGTAATTTCCTACCTGTAATGAATTACCTCAGAAATTAAAACAATCTTTTACTGCCTGTAGCTTTCTTCTGCATGACCATAGCATAAGTTATGGTTGCACCTCTGAAGGTTGCCACCCTTCCAGGACAGCTTAAACCAGAATTAATGTTTTGAAGACTTCACTTGTATTTGTGTTGTTTATATTGATCCTGTCTCAGTTACACAATTATGAATAGACGAGAGAAAATCACACTCAAGTGAAGTCTTGTAAATGTTGTGACGCAATGTTCCAATTTGTATTTTGGTGATAAAATGAAATGATACCTCTTCAGGGACTTCTGTGTCAAAGAGAGAGAACATCTGTTGATAAACAGATCAGGCAGTCATTACCCTGTGGTCAACGGTTTATCAATAGATTGCGAGCAGTTAGCTAAAAGTTGAGTTCAAATCGCTAAACTACAAATTGCAGCTTATTATCTCAGTTTTAATGTACAGTTCCCAGTTTTGTCAGTTAGTGCTCAACTGATTGTTACTGTCTGTGTAGACTGTCCACCCACATGACTGTGGCTAGAAGGGCCAAGAAGGACCTGGTTGAGAGTGAAGTTGCTGAGGGGGGAATGGGTGCCTCTTTCTTCCCGCTTTCTCTTCTCCCCCATTCTTGACCAGAGAGCAATAAACATGCTTGTGTAGTGGATTGTTGTGAGTGAAATGTTCTAAAATGTTGATAGTAAATTAGGTGGTTGATTTTTTGCCTGGCCAATGTATGAGAAGAGGAATCTTCTGTCAGTGACAGGCATATTCTGAAATTTCCTTGCTAGAGGACTTGGAATATTCTGTTTCTTAAAATGCCTGTGTTTAACTCAGAATAAATCAGCTTTCCATTAGCTAATCTTGGGCTCTAGGCTTCAGAGCAAAATTTCAGACCATCAGGCCCTACTACTAATCACCTTTATGTTTTGACCCTGTTTTGACCTGAAACCTGCTTCTAATCCTGCCGGGGGGGGNAGCTTTAAGTACTTGTAACTCAGAAGCGAGCTTGGTGACCCCCATTTTTTATTATGGAAGTATGATTAGACATGATAAGATCTTGGGCACGGACCGGAACTCCCATATAAAAAGGAGGGGGTGCTTGTACCTTTTAGAGGTTAAAAAAGCGGTTTTGGCAGCTGTTAAGGTGTTCAGTCTCAAAAGGTCCACAGCAGGAGCTTTTAATTACAGTAACTATTAGGGTATTGAGCCAAAAACATATGACAGGAAACACATGACGGGAGATAATGTTTTGTTTTAGAATTGGTACCTCGTAGGGCTGAAAAAATTTCAAGCCACGCCCACAAAACAGGATCTTCGTACCTCTTGTGGGTTCTTTTCAAAATTTCCGATGAGCACCTCCACCCTTTTTATGTGGGAGTTTCTCCCCCTCTCCCTCCTGGGCTTCTACTAAATGCATCCTGAAGAATTTTTTGATGTAGGTGAAAAAGTAATAGGCCCTTTGCAGCTAAGCCATCACGTGACCTACTTTTCATAAAATTATAGGCTATAACTTAACAAATGCCCGAAATGGAAAAAGCATGTCGAAAATATCAAAATGGCCAAGTTTGAGGCCCCCATCATTAAGGAATGAGATTTTTTGACAGTCTGAATTTTTAAAAGAATAGGAAGATTTTTATGGAAAAAGTTGTTGGAGAGCAAGGTCTTGCTCTCCAGCAACATTTTCCATACAAATCCTCTAAATTTTCCGAAAATTCAAGCTGTCATATAAACT